CCCTCAAATGCAGTGGACTCGCCCCACCTGTCACCCCTCAAATGCAATGGACTCGCCCCACCTGTCACCCCTCTAATGCAATGGGTTCGCCCCAAATAACACCCCTTTATGTGGAATGGATTGATTGGACTTTCCCCTCTAAACCCCTCTAATAGAATGGACCATGGCGTACTATTCAACCGTACTTGCTTCAGTCCAGATTACACTGCTAAACTTTTTCACTACTCCTGTTTTAGCTGACCTTGTACGCAATTTATTAGAATAAATTTTCTAAAATGAAGTTAAAACAATCCGTTAATTCGTCACAAACGCCAATCAACTATCAGGATTACTTGAAAACATCTTTTTAATCATTTTGATAATTCTTATTACATGAATTGAAGCCTATTTTTATACATTTTTAAAGGTTTTCATCATGTCGGTAATTTCGGGTAGGGACCGATTGCCCGAGGGTTCTAAAATCCTCATCGCTCTTGTCGCCGACTAACCCCAACCCCAATTTGTAATCAGCCGCTAGGTATAGTTAAGACAGTGTATGACGCAGGCTTGATGCCCAACGCTATACCGACAGCGTATGGCGCGACTACTGCTTGCTATATTGATAAATATAACCTTAAACCGATCGCGACACATATATTTATTTTTATAACATCGTTAGAACGTTTTAATACCAGATGTGATGATTAAGGTTGTGCAAATTGTAATGATGCAAAATATGAAATCCTTTCTTCATGTGTTTTTTGCCAAAATTAACAAAAATGTATAATTTGTAAATTTCATCAAAATTTATAAACGTTAATAGAATAAATGGCAACTTTTCTCGGATCAATGACGATGACAGTGGCAGTGTAGAACGTTAAAATATCCAATTTTATCCAATTTTATTTTATTAATATAGTATCTATATATACAGTATCAGTTAGTTCAATCTTAGTACAAATTTTATTGCGTTAGAATATTATTTTGATATCCTTATTTTAACATTATTTAAACATTTCAGAATTGCCGACTCCTTTGCCGAAATCTTACAAATAATGATGATAAAATTGACAATAGAATAAAATTTATACAATACTTAACTAGGAGAAAATCTACCGAAAGGTACTGTTCAGAATTTCTCGATATTTTACAATACATTTTAATGAATGCTGTACTTCAATTTCTAGTGCACTACGAGAAATTTGCCAAGGAATAATCTGACCAATACTATGGGGAAGCATTCTCAAAATATACGCAAAGACACAAACGAATGGAGCAAGCCTTGCAGGAGACAATATTATCACAGTGTCAATTAAGGCAAGCTTGAGAGAAAAGGCTAAGGATATGATGCATGTTTCAGTATGCTCATAAACAGCAATTTTTATTTGTTGAATGGTACAACAGTTTGCTTCTAAGTAAAAAAAAAAAAAAAAAAAAAAAAAAAAAAAAACAAAAAAAAAAAAAAAAAAAAAAAATACACTGTTACTATGAAACCCCGAAAAACACCCTATTAGTACATGTGTCATCATGAAAACTCACTTTTTAAGTTATTTAAGTTATGAGGGCCCCATTCGTCAAAATGACGCACGTGACATAGGCCTATGAATGTGAGATTCACTGGTGTTAATAATTGTCACTCGTGTACAGTGCATGCATACTGTCACATCACTTGCACCTTGCTGACTCGTCAGCCGACACGTGTATTTCGTATTTATTTTATATTATATCAGCCGTTAAATAAATATAACACATAATGTGTATGCAAGTCAGACGGCTGGTTCATAACAATAACGTCGGTCTCGATGTGAAACTTTGCATGACCTTGATCGGCCTATATATTTGACTTCCTCCTAAAAATACTCGCCATGCAACCGATCACCGTTCTTGTTACTGGGGCCAACCGTGGCATAGGCTTGGAGCTGGTGAGGCAAATAGTAGCTAGACAAAGTCCACCTAAACATGTTTTTGCCACTTGTAGGAATCCCGACAAAGCGAAGGTGAGCTACCGGTAGACTGTTTATCACCTCTTATCACCGTGTATTTATTTTTTTAGTCTATTTATAGACTATTATTTTATGATATAAACATTATATCTTTAGGGTTGTACTGGACTGGACATGTACGTCAATCCCTGCCAATCTGGTCCTAATTCTTTGGAATTTTTAGGGCGGTGGTGATTTGAAAAAGTCAAACAATATCGGTTGACCTCAATCGTGAAAGTGTAAACTTCATCGTATACATAAACTATAAGACACCGATAAGATTTTAACAACCCCCCCCACCCACTTTTTGGGTTTGAAAGTTGCACCATTCCCCGCCCCCTCCCCACCCCTCTCAAAAACGATATTACATTAATTACGATTAACGAGTCAAAGCCAAACAATTTCCATGCTTGTGACCTACATATCTGACATATAGCAGTATTAGAATTTATTTCATTCTTTTGCATACATAGCCTACATGTCAACTCTCCCGGATAATCCGGGAGTCTTCCGGGTACAGAACGTTCTCCTGGTCCCCGTACGGGTAGGCCTACCCATATCTCCCGGATAAAAGCGACTTTGAAAATTTGCACCAATGTCAGCTAACGTCCTGTCTCTAATACCGAAATCCAAAAAAATTCGGTTTTTTGAATTTCACTCTGGGGGTGGGGGTGGGGGGGGGGGAGAGTGGTCGCTCCCCCAACCCTCCAACTGAGTAGGGCAACGGCAGCGACCACTCCCCTCCCCCATTGACCAAATTTTAGAATCTCCAGAATTTAGATTTCCGGTGGTTGGCATCTCTGCTTGTGCCCCCTTTCCCTTAAATTTAGGCATTTCAGACTTCATGAGAATCCTTTATCCGTCATCGCAAAACTTTTAAAGTGACCTTTGTGAAAACGCAATGGACACCGACTGAATGTTTACATTGCTAGATTATTGATTCCCATGGTAGCTGGTTAAAATCTCAACTTTGTATTAAATTTGTATGTCAGAGCACATTCGCGCATTTTTTTTTTTT